GCCCACCTAGCAATTTGAAAGCATGCAAGTAGATAAATAGGTACTGCTTCAGTGGGAAGGGAACAGCGTTCTGTGCACCGTAGTGTACAGTCATGACGGCTACCTGACCATGGAAGCATTTTTAGACAGCGCCGGCTTCCTTGGCTAGCAAATGGAGATGAGCACTGCCCCCTAGAGTTGGGCACGACCTGGATAAGCAAAACCTTTACCGTTAAATCTTCAAAAGTCTTCAAAAGAAAAACATAAGAAAGTCCAGTTGCCTGCTGAAAAGGCACCATGACCTGGATGACTGAGAATCTCTACAGACTTTTAGCTATACAATTTTGGATGAACATCCTTTGAATGGCGCGGGAGTATGAACGGATTTCCAGAGGGGAAAAATTGCAGACTACAGGAATCAGGAGCACCCACTCAGGTGACCCCCGAGGACACAGACAAACCTCCAAGTGCTTCAATGACCCTCTACAAGGATGCAAATGACCAGCTCTGTCTGCAAGGAATATAAATCCTTCCTTTCCCCACCATCCAGTCAGAGCTGAAGAAGCTTCTTGGATGAGAAGCGAAACGCCTTCAAAAGAAAAAACAAGAAAGTCCAGTGGTCTCCTGAATAAGAAGAAAAAAGCCCTTTTGGGACAAGCAAGCTCAGAGGACCCCAAAGACTTCTCCCATTTTTATTTCTCGTCCTCATTAGCCTGGGGTGCAAACCTAACCAGGACAAAAACTCTCTCAGCCATTGCTGCCCCTTCCTAGCCACAACCTTACCTCAACGGCTTTCCCGCTCGGCTCGCCTTGTAAACTTCCAGCTGGCGAACGAAAGTCAGCTCCGCGTCGTACAAGACGACGTACCGGGGCTCCACCTCGTGCAAGACGGAGGTCAGGGCGTACGGATCCCCGCAGCCATTTAAAGGGTGGATGACTGTCAGCGGTTCCTTCAGGATGCCGTAATAGGCATCGGAGGAGGAGGAGAGTTTTAACTGGAGGTCTTCTGATCTCGCCCCGTTGCTCTCCTGGCTGCTGTTGAGGCCCTCGGGATCTTCTCCTTCTTCTTCTTCGACCTCGACGTTCTCGGGATCCTCTGGGTTCAACATTTGCGTCAGGGTCAACTCTGTCTTTTTCTTCCTCCTTTTGGGCCTGGAGGATTCCGTTTTGGCTTTTTTGGCTGGCGGCTCTCGGTCGTTCTTCTCACGGCCATTCTTGGCCTCTCGCCGGTTCTTCGGGCCGGCCGGGCTCCCTCCCTTGCCCGGCCCAAAGGTTTTGTTGTAGAGCCTGGTTAAATAGGCTTCGGGCCCGAGGGTGATATATTCCTTGAGCTGAGCGCAGGTGCGGTCGTCGCTGGCACAAACCAGCACTCGCCCTGCAGCCAAAGAGAGTTTCCACGCTTTACGGCTTGAAATCAAGTCAACCTTTCCCCTCCTACAGGCAGTCCTCGAGTTACAACCGGAGCTGGGGCCAGAATTTCTGTTGCTATGCTGGCAGAAGAGAGCGGTGCCTGATTTTATTATGACAACATAGTGAAACACCGTGGTTGATAAGTGAACCACATGAGTCCAGCTTCCCCTGCTTGCCGGTTGGAAGACAGCTGGGGGAGGTCACAAATGGTGATCACGTCGCCATGACACACGCTGGTGGCCAAGCCCCCAAATTTTGATCATGTGACTGGGAGGAGGGTGCAACGCTCCTAAGCGCAAGGACCAGTTGCAAGTTCCCCTTTTTTTTTCCAGTACAATTGTAACTTTGAGTGGGCATCGAAGGAATGGTTGTAAGTCAAGGACCATCTCTATTTCTAACAGAAAAAAAGAAATATGGAGTCTTCACAAAATAGGACAGCTGTCATCATCGCTCTGCTAAAAGTGCTGTTGTTCAAGACAGGCTGGAAGCAAAGTTTTAAATCTGAAGTTCAAGTGAAAAGATTTCAGGATGGAATGAAGGGTGATCCTTCCTTCCTTNTCCTCAACTCTAACAAAAACTATCAGCACTGCTTTCATTGAAAGCGTTGAGGCTTCATCGATTATTAGGCACACCTTTAGATAATCCTTGCAATAATCCTTGAAAACATGGTGGTTTTGATTTCGTTCGCAATGAATTCAACTATACTATATTGTCAAAAGTATTTGCTCACAACTGCTTGTATTTTCACCGCAGATCTCTGTGAATGCAAGCTAACTCCCACATCTACTCCAACCATAGCTAGCAAATTTACCTGCACTTCGATGTCTGAGAATGGGTTGCATCTTTGCACCAGATCGTAAACAGTAGAAAATATTTTGCAACTACTGGACAAATGTTTGTCAGTTGACTTATCTACAGATTTGGTTAAAGCATCCTGCTCCTGTTGTTTACTGCTCGCTAAACAAATAAGGTGTGCTTTTGATTGAAAATGTTCCTTTAATTTTTTTCTGATTCTTGTTGATGCTTGTTGATTCTCCTTGGTTGACACTGCTGGCACAACCTGGAAATGTTTCCACTCTCTAGAAAAATGAATACCTCTCTCTAATGAGAACATGGGTTTTGCACAGTTTTTATCTTGAAAGAAGTGAAGAGCAACGAGTGTGGCATAATACTAAAACCCAGTTAATAAAAATTAGACAAAAACTAACTTTCCTAGGAGAAATGCCCTGGCTGGCTGAGGCTACCCAGAGTCTATGTTTGACTAATATTTCTGCTGGAATAACAGCAACAACTAGAGTCCATCCTGCAGAAACTTTCTTGTTCTGGTTGCAGGAGGAGACAGAGACACATGACATACTTTGCAAAGAGAATACTATTGATACTGGAGATATTTCTCCCCAGAAGCAAGACTTCTGTTCCCCAAGGGTCTACTCTTTCTATTACCCTGTTCTCATTCCCAATCCATTGCTGTGAAACATCTGATCTTAATTAATGTCCATTCCATCCATTGTAATACCTCAAGAAAGGAGCACAGTTTAATATTTTATTCTTGTATTTTAATAGATGACTCCTCCTATGCTAAAAGCCCTTACAATTGATATGAGAGGAAAGTTTACATGAAATCCCTAATAACCTAATCACATGACATATTATACTGTAAAGTAGCCAACAATATTAACAGGTACCTAACCAATGGTGGATTCAATATTTTTTACTACTGGTTCTGTGGGCATGGCTTTGTGGGTATGGCATGGCTTGGTGGGCATGGCAGGGAAAGGATACTGTAAATTCTCCATTCCCTCCCCACTCCAGGGAAGGTTACTGCAAAATCCCCATTCCCTCCCAATCAGCTGGGACTCAGGAGGCAGAGAATAGATGGGGGTGGGGCCAGTCAGAGGTGGCATTTACGGGTTCTCTGATGTACTCAAAATTTCCGCTACCGATTCTCTGGAACTGGTCAGAACCTGTTGAATACCACCTCTGTAACCTAGCCCATTTTGTGATTTATGATTCAGCATGACAGGTAACCTGGAACACTGGAAGATTTGAGTAAAGTCTTGTTAAACTTACCACTAAGCAATCATGGTATATACTCACATCCTACAAAGACATCAAATGTTAGATAAAACTGTGTGTTGTCAACTAGTTTAGCAAACATTCTTATTTTATTGACAATATAGAAGAGAAATAGAGGAAGAAAGCCTATTTATTCATGCAAAATAAAGTTTAATAAATGTTAACTTCAAAGTCTTGATAGAATTGCTATTTCATTCATTGGCTTTTATTAACTATATAACAACTGGAATTCCAATGAAAAATGATAATATTGCTTAGCAATATAGTTAGCAGTAGCAATGCTTCCACTCAAGTATATTATGCAACCTGGAAATGTCGTAGACTGGTCTTATATTAAGTCTGGATAAAGCCAACAGTTACTTTTGAAAGGAATCCAACTATTTGATCTGAAGTGAACCACGTGCTTCATCTAGGAAGCCTGCAACTGTGGAGGCATTATGTTTCAAAACACTTGGCAGCAATTAAAAAGCAATAAGATATTCTTACTCATCGAAGACACCACAAAACTGAATACAAATAGGGAAAATATTTGCCATGGGGGTAAAAAATATATTAGTCATAATATGAGGACATAATACTTTGTGGGAATAGAGTGGGGGAGTATAATTATAATTGGCAACAATTTATCCTACTATATTAAATAATGTTTGTATTAGTCTTGCTTTTGGCCAACTCTTCAGTGCCAGAAAAGGCTTTACTTGAATTGTTCTCACTGGTGCATTTATAACCACATTTTAGAGAGCTTCTGTTCAATATTCATTCAGTGCTGCATACAGTATATATTCTGCCATTTTTTCCTGAGATCTCAAAGTCCTCCTCCTCCTCCTCCTTCTCCTCCTCCTCCTCTCCCTTCTTGTTGTTCCAGGCAGTGACGTGCAGTCAGGGGAAGCAAGGGAGACAGAGCCTCACTACTGTCATCATGAAAAGAAAAAAAAATTAAAAGGAAAAAGGCTGAGGTAGTTGCTGCCAGAGTCACAGTGGATGACTCTGCTTAGTGCTTACCTGTTTAAAAAAGCCTCTANCCTAACCCTAAACCTAACCCTAAACCTAACCCTAAACCTTACCTTAACTTAAATCGCGCTTCTGTTGGTGCGCTTCTGTTGGTGCGCTTTTGTCGCTGCGCTGTTGTCGGCGCGCTTTTGACATCACGGTTTTAGCGCCGTGGTTTTGTCGGCGCGCTTTTGTCGTTCACGCATTTGTCGGGTCACGGATCCAGATGCCACCACTGACCTCACCCCATTCCTAAGAGGTTTGTAAGGGAGCATGCATAAGTGCACCAGCATGCCTACTATCCCTTCCTACTGTTCCCATTCATTTCTCCTCATTTCTTATGTATATATGATACCTGCTTATACTTAGATGTTTATATGTTTTATTCATACTTATACTTATTTTCTCATACATGCTTGACAACCAAAATAAGTAAGTAAATAAATAAAAGTAACTCTTTCCAGCTTATCTTCATGGAGTACAATCTTTTACTTCTCTGGAAGTTTTTCAAAGACTTTGAAAGTTTTTCAAAGACTTTGAGTCCTTTCTTTTTATCATGAGATCCTCAACCTTGTTAATGTTCTTAAAGAAAAAGTCCTGAATTTATATATTTTCTCGAAGCTCTTCTTTCAGTTGTGTTGAGAGGTTTACGTTTAAACCATAAACAAAGGTAGACAAAAGTGAAAGTTAATATCCAGCTCTTCCGAAGCTGCAATAAACTCCTCTGCATTTTCACCTACCTGTGACGTTGCCTTGGCAGGTTGGTAACATTCTCCACATGTTTGCATCTCAAAAGTACTTCAAGATGATTTTTTATCCTCAGAGAACAATTGACTCACAAATTGATGTGTTTCATTTAGAGACCTTTCAAATATATCTCTAATATTTTGCTCTACCATCTTGGCTTCCTCTTTTAATCAGAATCAGAAGATTTTATCCCCTCACAGCTGAGAAGATCAAGCTACCAGTTACTGTAAATTAAACTATAATAAACTAAAATCACAGCTTTCAATCTTTATCTTTCTCCATCAGTTTTTTCTTCCCCCCTCTCAGCCCACTTCTTTATTTGGCTTGCCTTAGCAGCTTTCTTCCTTGTTCTTTAACACAAAAAGAAATCCCTAAAATGGTGCAAGGTATAGAAGGCTGTTGTTGGAAAGGACCTCTTTTAAATTGACTTAAGATAGAATAATGGTCTTTGAAGGTGGTTAAGATAAGGAAGGCATAATTTACTCTCAGTTTGAAATGTGATTTTCCAAAAATGATGATTTCTTAAGCCCCTCCTCTCCCACCTTTTGGCATGCAGACAGCTTTGGAGTTCAACTCCAAAAGCAATCTGCCAGCTTAAAGCTATATTGAAAGGTCCCAACACACCCTAACCAGGTGGGTCATAAAAACTGATCGGATATCAATCCCTTCAGTTAGAAGCCGGAAGAGCAACACTCCAGGGAGAAATCCTTCAGGGATCCTGTGCATGTGTTCCGTTAGCCATGTTCCCAGGAAGTCCATATCTGTCTTCCCTTAGTCCTGTGATGTTTCCCCAATTCATTTCCATATAATATTTCAGCATATTCAATGACATGTAATTTTGAGCCACCCAACATTGGTTATAAGATGGACAGCTATATAAACAAACAAATGAAGGAATGAATGAATAAATAAATAAATTGTGGTTGTGGTTATTTTTGTAACTTCCCTCAATTGAAAAAATATACTATTTGATAATCGTGAACGGTTTAATCAAAACAATTTAAAAAACAAAAAAAAATACAAAAAGCAACAATAAAACCTGAAATAAAATCCAAGATAGGTGGGCCAAAAAGTGCATTTAATTATGTAATATGTTTACTGTGTTTATGGAATTGTAACAAGATGAAGGGCCGTATGTATTTCTGGAAAGAGAATATATGAAACTTCTTTCTATTTCTCTGATGTCCAGTGGATCATATATGGGGAGGAAATGTTCAGTAGGTCTTCTTACTTAAAAGCTCCCACCAAATTTATGGAATAAAATAATGTATTGCACTGAAAGCAATCAATCCTCTATATTAAAACAATTGATTGGAAGTAAAAAATACACATGACAGCATTTTCTGTTTAATAGATAATATAAATAATAAACATAATAAACTCTGAACATTCCACTTCCACTTGTATATAACTACTTTTTAAGGTTTTTATTTGTAATTATGATGCAGCTGTGAATTTATTACTATGATGTTTACATTTTGGTTATTTTTATGTTTGTAATCTCATATAAACATTCTATAATCATTTTGCCTTAATGGCAGCGCTTCCAGTTATACAAGTTGGAACTCTTGATTTTCATTGTTTTTTTCATCATTATTGTTTAATAAAGATGCTCATGCCATGAGATTTATTTTTCTAGGATCCATCATTGTATAAGAGCACTTAACTAGGATGATAGAACATTTGCAATGGGTAATAAAGATCAGATTATCTCCCTTTCATTAAGAAAACAAGAATCAATCTCAATTAAGTTAATTTCCATTAAGGTGATTAGATTAAACTTCAGAAAATCATCATCTGAGATGAGAATAGCCCTATGGTTATTTAGAAGGCCTTATGCAAGGAAGAATGAAGATCTTTTATTTTTGTTAATCTCTGTGTTTTTTGGCCTCTTTATTTTCTATTATTATTAATTTTATTTCCTACATAATGCTGACTACAGCAATACGCTGTACATGGGTTTATCCTTGAGGACCACCAAGAAACTTAAGCTGGTTCAGAATGGAGTGGCATAGGCAGTAATGTGCAT